GTCGGTTTCGATGTCAAAACGAAACCGTCTCGGTCGCGCAGAGTTTCCAGTTCGACGACGTCTGTGCGCAAGCCAAACGTCACTCTTCTGCTGATGAATCCCCGGATAATCAAGCATGGAGGTGAATAGGCTCCGTTTCCCACGATTCGCTTTGCTCAAACTGCGCAAGTATAGTTCTAGTAGCGCAGAACTTGAACTATGCGTCGACACTTCAGCTGTTACAATAATAGGTTTCGTCTCAACGATACAGCGTGGATAAGCATTGTCGGCTTCAAATAATATGGACATCAGACGGATTAAGTTGGGACAAGGGGCATTTACTTCTGTGCATTGCCCATGCGAGACTGTCCGAGACTGTCCAGTTGCACCCTCTCCGCCACGTCGCTCGCGCACACTGCTTTCTGCTGGAGAAAGGTCAAGCGATCGCAATAACAAGGGAAATATACAAGCAGCATGGGATTCGTGAATAGTCCTTGGCGACGTGGACTGGCAAGTGCTTCATTCGGGCGTTCGCACTCACCACGGCGACATGAACGTCATGTCGTCGAGATGGGGTCGAATTGCTAGCAGCGCCTCCAGCTGTGTCGCCTTTAGAAACCCCTCGCGAAGGGTCTTGAATGAATCCGACGAGCCGGTCGCCCCCACCACCATTCGCGCCAAGATGGGGCAGTTGTGCAATTTCTTGAACACGCGCATTTCGTCGCTGTGCAGCACCGCAGCAAGGCTGGCTCGGGTGGATTGCCGCGACGTGCCGACACGCATGTGTGCGAGCCAGTGGGCTGCGTACAGAACCTCTTCGTGGCGCCAGCGACCCTTGCGGCGACCGCACAGCGCTAAAAACACACTCCCTTCGTCGTAGCCAAACCTGATAAACGTGCCCCGCCAGTCGACTTGTCCTTGCTCGTCCAACTCGACCCGGAACGTCCGTCGGAGACGAGCGTGGTAAACATGTCCGCACTGACGTTGCGCGAGTAACCGAGGCACGTCGGGGTCGTGTCCTTGCCGAAGCGCCGTGTGCTGAAGAGATGCGAGAGGTGGCAGTTTTGGCAACCCCCTTCGTTGGCCGGGGTCGACATAACCCGCCGAAGCCTCGTCGTCGCGGTGGAGAAGCAACTGCATGTTGTTTTGTCGGTGTCGAAACCAGTTATAAAACGGCATCGAACAAGTCATTCCATGAGTGGCTCCGAAACGTGAGCTATTCTAACTCTGTGCGGTAAGAATATCGGTTTCTGCGCCATGGTTCGTAGTCAGACGGCTGGCTTGGAGCATGGAGTGCGCTCTAGCGGTCGCGTGGTATGTGCAACACCGACCAAGGCAAACGTCCACCCGACGAAGGAATATGAACGAGATGTATAAACAAGAACATCAACTTCAGCTCACTCACGTGCCTGTCGCGGCGTGCCCTACCCAGCACACTGCGAACAGCCACCACACGACCATCACGTTGTGGTGCTGTCAGGCAGTCCGTTCTTCTAAGACATGTCGACTGTCTACTTGTCTGCCTCGACGGCGTTCTCGGGAGACGGTCTCGGTCGGCGGGACCCATGGGACTTGCGCGTCCTCTGCGTCGTCGTCGGGAGTTGGTACGAGGCAATTCGAGACACGCATCGGTTCTTGACCTTGCGCAGGACGGCAAACAGCTCTTCGTACAAGTCGTCGACCGAGTCGCAGTCGGAGAAGAAGCGCTCATTCGCAATCTGGCGCAAGAAGACCCAGTGGCCGTCTTGTACGCTCGCGTCGAACGCGCCGTGGATGGTCTGGAAGAAGCTGACGAGTTCGGCTTCGGCCTGGCAGATGTGCGAGCGGGTCGTCAGCGTCTTGGTCAGGCGCTTGGCCAGCTCGCTCACGTCGTCCGCGTCGATCCAGCCGTCCTCGATGCACTCCTGGATGTCGTCCGTGAGGTCGTTCCACACGTCAACCTTGTGGTGCGGCAGGGCCCAGTCCGAGTTGTGCACCTCCGGGAAGCACGACGACAGGTCGCCCTGGTTGTTGGCCCGGCACGCGTAGAACGAGCAAAAGTACAAAATGCCGTTGCCCTCGAGGATCGGCTGCTTCTGCGTGCCTTGGTACTGTGCGACGATCTCGGCGAGGAGACGGGGACGTACGTTCGAGTGGGTCGCGGTGTCCCATGTCCGCACGCCGTCCAAGAGGCCTCGGAGGGTGTCTGGGTTGGAGAATTGCGGCCCCGCGTCGTC